TCTCTCTCTGTCTTTCTGGTGATTGCATGTGGCCTATAACAAAAACATCTCTAAAAAACATGAATGTTTGAATAATAATACATAGCATCCCCAGACTCTAAATTCTCTATGGAAGGCTATTAATAAATTATCAGAAAAAAATAGAAATGGTGATATTTAATATGTTACTAGTTATCAATGAACATTAATTGCCGTTCATCAGAAAATGTCAAGTACTAAATATCTTAAGTGTACTTCTGTGAAGTAGTAGATTACTTATAGTATATAAATGTTTCATTTCCTATTTAAAGCTGGAAAAGTTGGGAGAAATTGTGTACAGAACTGAAACAAATTATGTATAAAAATATATTTGTATAATTATGTATAAAAGATATATAATATATAGAATATGGATAGATAAGACATTTTCTATGGGGTGGCAGTATGTGTAACTTTACATTTATATCATAAAACAACAAGGGCAGTCAAATATATCCTGAATGTTGAGTAATGCAATATGCAAAACATGGACATTGAGATTTACTAAATATAAAAAAAGAATATAATATTAAATATAACTATACCTCTTGACTTTTTATTAACTGAATTGACAAAAATTAATCAGAAACATGCTAAAGGTAACAAGGTCTTGTATTTAAAGAAATTCATAGTAGACTATAAAATTCATAAGCATGGTGAGACACATAATCCTATGAAGCGTTCGTTACAATTGAACACAAAAGTTGAAATGACTTATTTAGAAACCTTAGGCAGAATGTTCCTGAGGAGGAATATTTAATTATGTTTAAGATATTCCACAGCATCACATAGCACATCATAAATTAATTCCTTTATCTTTTGCAGATAAATCATTTCACACTCACCGGGTTTTCTCATTCATGAAACCATGTACCTGAATAATAATGTGACCGAGTTCATTCTGCTTGGGTTGACACAGGATCCAGTTAGGAAGAAAATTGTATTTGTCATTTTTTTGCTTTTCTATTTGGGGACACTGGTGGGTAACTTGCTTATTCTCACCACCATCCAGACCAGCCGTGCACTTGGGAGTCCCATGTACTTCTTCCTTTTCTACTTATCCTTCTCTGATACCTGCTTCTCTACTTCCATAGCCCCTAGAATGGTTGTGGATTCCCTTTTGAAGAAGGCAACTATTTCTTTCAGTGAGTGCATAATCCAAGTATTTACATCTCATTTCTTTGGTTGCCTGGAGATCTTCATTCTTATCCTCATGGCTATTGACCGCTATGTGGCCATCTGTAAGCCACTGCACTACACAACCATCATGAATCGCCGGGTCTGCAATGGATTGGTGGCCGTGGCCTGGGTGGGGTCCTGTGTGCATTCTTTAACTCAGATATTCCTTACCTTGAGTCTGCCATTTTGTGGTCCCAACATAATTGATCACTATTTCTGTGACTTACAGCCCTTGTTGAAACTTGCATGTGCAGACACCTATGTAATAAATCTACTCTTGGTTTCTAATAGTGGAGCCATTTGTACAGTAAGTTTTGTCATACTGATGTTCTCTTATGTTATCATCTTACATTCTCTGAGAAACCACAGTGCTGAAGGGAGGAGAAAAGCCCTCTCCACATGCATCTCCCACATCATTGTGGTCATCTTGTTCTTTGGACCTTGCATATTTATATACACACGTCCTGTAATCACTTTCCCTATGGACAAGATGATAGCTGTGTTTTATACAATTGGAACACCTTTGCTTAACCCACTGATTTATACTTTGAGAAATGCAGAAGTAAAAAATGCCATGAGGAAGTTGTGCAGCAAGAAACTGATTTCAGATAATTAAAAATGAATCAAGGTTTCAAATACTTCTTCATAGTTTGTATTTAGCTACAAGAAGTCAATAGAGAATATATTTAATAATTGATTTAATGTTGCTGTGTCTTGGGAATGAGGGTTAGTTTCTTCAGGAAGAGGACATTGTAACTACCTACCCTGGTTAATGCTGAATCTGTTTTTTCTAGTTCTTTGAGTTATATGCTAAAATCATACCACATATTTACCCACATCTTTCTAAAACAGTGATAGAACACATAAAAAGAAAATTCACCTTTGAAAGATGCCTCTGTTTTAGGAAGGTTCTTACTTTTAGATTTGTGATCATAAAATTATCCTTTTTATAAAATCTACCTTTTGTTCCTAATTTGATTTCTTCTACCTTTGGGGGGGAGTATTAATGTTTCTCTTGAATTACAGCAGTTCATTTCAATATGGGGCTATTATGGTTATAGCTTAGATACCATCAATTAATGTAGAGATATTTGTGTGAGCTAGAAGTAAGTAGAGCAATTAGTCAAAGATGCATACCTATAAATAGTAACAGATTACACAAAAGATATGTGATAACCCAGAGGGACATTTTTAGGGTTTGATATAGAAATAGTTACATCACAGATATGAAATATTTTACTGACTTTTCAATACAATCTAGAAGAGAGAAACTTAAGCAGAAAAAACAGATGTTAGATAAGAAATGTGTTTCTGCAATAAAGATGAGTATTACTGTTATCACCATCTGCCAGCAGCATAGTCTCTAATCACATCAACTGAGAATTTGCTTCATTTTTTATTTGTGTTTTTCACATGTTGAAAGTTAATCATGATTATTTTGTTTGAAACTTTCATTTCTATTTATAAGTTACAACATTATATTCTTATTAAAAATTTGTACCAATTCTATTGCACAAGAAATTTTAGAATTTCATTAGCTTGAAAATAAGATCATCTATTACTTTGTATATGAATAGATAGCTGTACATTCTACATTGAAAAATATTGACATGCATATATCACTATTTTGGATTTTGTTAATTTTAAGACAAAATTGACCTCAAGCAGTTTATCATTGCATAGTAGCTATTATTTGGTTCTGCTGTGGAAAGGTTGGCACTGTAGGACTCTCCAGTTGGCAGAGTTTATAACTAGTGGATTCTTTTATTTCTAGACAAAGAAAACATCAAAAGGGATGTGCACATGGGTCAGTCTTATAATCTAGTGATTGAGGGAGTTAGATAGCACATGACCAACTAAGTTCTAGGCCTGGACTCGTAGCTTGAAAAAAGCCTGATGAAAGGTATTAAAGAGAGAAATAGAAAGGCAAGACATTTATGGGACAGATAAATGGGTTATTATCTGTTGATGATAATGTGTATAGTACTTCCAGCTGGACTGGTGAGAAATGTATTCATGCTGGAAAATTCCCTTTACCAGTTAAGTAATGTATGTGATTGAGTGTATAAAAGAACTTAAAATAAAACAAAATATACAAAAAAATTATACAACACACTGTGCGGGTCAGTGTATGTCCTGAATTCTGATGTAAGGAAGAAATGGAGGAGAAGGAATTGCAATATAACCACACTCCAATGGGGGTGTTTTCTTCGTCTCCCTCTTTTTCTCTTTTTGTGTATCTCTGGTGAATTTATGTTGCCTCTGGCAATTAAAAGGAAAAAAAATGAAAAGGGATATGTGCTGAATTTAGACGCCTCCCTCAATACATTGTGTAATATGTATCCTGGACATACATTCAGTATGGACTTACTGTCATTGTATTGCCTTCAGAAAAAATCATGCTTTAATCTGGTCCAGAATTTTATTATGATGATTAAAAAGAAGATGGAATTTATCCTTCACTAGGTTTTTGGGTTGAAGTCAATGCTTTTATATGGAAAGAATGTAAATATAACTGTTAAAATAGGGAACATCTATATGGGAAAATGTGACCTCATAATTTATCTCACATCATCTGGGTTGTAACAAATTTTATCTCTTAGAAGAGAAGAGTGCTCTTTCTTTGCATAAGCATCATTCCATTGCCTCACTGGAGGAACTAGTCATGCAGTGATATTTGTTCTCTTCATGAATTTAGTCCTCTAGCCTTAGTGCTCCCCAACAGAGAAAAGGCCCAAGGAAAGTCCACAGAGGAGAAAGCAGTCTTGCTCTAGGAGAAAATGACACACATGATGAGGTTGCAGAACTTGGCTAACCCAAGCCGGTGTGAACCACGAGAGCACCTGACTGCGGAAGTAGATCTTGAAGATGTTAACGGGGGATGGCAAGAATAGAAGTCTAGAAACTGCAGACCTTTTTGCCATGAGATTCTCATTGATTTTGTGAGATTTATTGTTTTTATGTGTTGAATGATGTCACCCAAAAAAATGCTATCTTCTGGCTGCCGGCAGATGGCGTATTGGTTAAGGGAGCTGGACTCCCACATGGCCAACCACAATTGGATTCCCAGCACTGGTGCTTTACTATCTCACTTTCTCTCTCTTTCTCTCTCTCTCTCTCTCGCTCTCTCTCTCATTCTCTCTGGCCAAATTAAAATAATAAATAAAAAATTGGGACTAGCAGTTGCCGTAATGGCTATGTCTCTGGACTCCCATATAGTTGACTATGGTTTGAGTACCAGATCCAGTGGCCTAAACACACACTGGGCATGTGTGCGTCCATGCCCAAGATCCCAAGAGGAGAATGGAGGAGAAGGGATTGTGGCGTGGCCATCCCCCCAGGGGATGATTTCTCTCTTCTGTCTCTCTGTCTCTGTCTTTCTGGAGAGTGCCTTAGAGCAAAACAATAAAAATAAATAAATAAATAAAATTAAATATAATAATTCTTTAAAAAAATAAAAGAAAATGCTTTTTTGGAATCCTGATCCAAGTACCTCTAAATGTACTTAATTTAGAGACAGGGTCTTTACAGAGCTAAGTTCTTTAAAATACACTTACTGGGAGAAGCCCTAATCTGGTATGACTGGTGTCCTTTAAAAGAGAAAACTGGATATAGAGGCAGACATTCACATGGAGGTAATGACAATGAAAATGAAGAGAAACCAAAGAATGCTAAAGATTGCCAATAACCTTCCAGAAGTCAGGAGAGAGGCATGGCAAGGTGTGCCTAGAAGTCCTCATACAGAGCTAAGTTCTTTAAAATACACTTACTGGGAGAAGCCCTAATCTGGTATGACTGGTGTCCTTTAAAAGAGAAAACTGGATATAGAGGCAGACATTCACATGGAGATAATGACAAGTGAAGATGAAGAGAAACCAAAGAATGCCAAAGATTGCCAATAACTTACCAGAAGTCAGGAGAGAGGCATAGCAAGGTGTGCCTAGAAGTCCTGTTTAGGAACCCACTCTGCTGATGCCTTGATTGGAAACCTTTAGCCTCTGGAACTGTGAGACAATACACTTCTGTTGTTGAAGCCACCCAGTTTATATTATGTTTGTATAGTAGTCCTAGGAAATGTAACAAATATTCCATTAAGATAATTTACAGATGGTTCTTTAAAGCATATACAAGCAAGTAATTGTAGGGTTTTTTTTATTGTTATTGCAACAAATTAAAACCAACTTTGAGATTTAAAACAACACAGATTGATTATCTCACAGTTTTTTACAATTCTTTTTTTTTTTTTTTTTGGAGAGGTTTTCGCTATAGGGTACGTGCACTCGCCAGACAGACAGAGAGAGACAGAGAGACAGAAAGCGAGAAATCATCCCCCGGGGAGATGGCCACGCCGCAATCCCCTCTCCTCCATTCTCCTCTTGGGATCTTGGGCATGCATGCACACGCACCCGGCGTGAGTTTAAGTCACTGGGTCTAGGACTCAACCCGCGGGCGACTACGTGGGAGTCCAGCGACATAGCCATTATGCTAACTGCTGGTCCCATAGTTTTATACAATTCTCATACAGATCTCACTGGGCTTAGCTCAAGATGTTAGCAGTGCTGTGTTCCTTTAGGAAATATTAGAGGACAGTTCATTTCCTTGGATTTTCTAATGTCTAGAGACTTTCCGCATTTCTGCACTTGTGGCTTCTTAATTCAGTCTGTAAATTTAGTAAGTTATATCCATCGACCATTTGCCCCTCGTCTTGTCTTCTTTCGACTTTTTTTCTGCTTCCCTCTTCTACTTTTTAAAACTCTTATGATTACACTGGGTTTGCCTGAATGATCCAGGGTAATCTCCTTGTATTAAGGTCAGCTTAATTAGAAACCTTAATTCTATTTATAACCTCAATTCTCCTTTGCCATATAAGCTAATTTATTGACAGCTTCCAGTTATTAGATCACAGACATCTTTGCAACCATTATTTTGCTTACCACAGTAGCTCTCAGTAAATAAAACGAAGATGCTGGCATCCCTTGGCAAAATATTGACTCAAAGCTGTGAAAATATCAGTATCTAAGAACAGAAACTCGTTAGTCAGCTGTGCTTCTTAGAAGGTCCAGAAGACACTCCCTTCACTAATAGAGTAAAAATATACTGGTAAGTTAATTCAGTCTGTAAATTTAGTAAGTTATATCCATCGACCATTTGCCCCTCGTCGTGTCTTCTTTCGACTTTTTTTCCGCTTCCCTCTTCTACTTTTTAAAACTCTTATGATTACACTGGGTTTGCCTGAATGATCCAGGGTAATCTCCTTGTATTAAGGTCAGCTTAATTAGAAACCTTAATTCTATTTATAACCTCAATTCTCCTTTGCCATATAAGCTAATTTATTGACAGCTTCCAGTTATTAGATCACAGACATCTTTGCAACCATTATTTTGCTTACCACAGTAGCTCTCAGTAAATAAAACGAAGATGCTGGCATCCCTTGGCAAAATATTGACTCAAAGCTGTGAAAATATCAGTATCTAAGAACAGAAACTCGTTAGTCAGCTGTGCTTCTTAGAAGGTCCAGAAGACACTCCCTTCACTAATAGAGTAAAAATATACTGGTAAGAGGAGCACATACATTTTTGAGGATCTTAGTAGGAGATATAATTATGATGCATCCCT